TCATGCAAAGTCCTAATTCAGAAAAGAGCTTATAACTTCTTTCTCTGATTCTGTCACTGAGGACTGCCCCCCACCCCGCCATGTATGTTGTTGAATTCCATAAACCAGGGTTCCTCAACCTTGGCCACTTTAAGATGGGTAGACTTCAACTCCCAGAATTCCCCAGCCAGCCTTGCTGAATTCTGGGAGCTGAAGTCGTAAAGTGGCCAAGGTTGAGGAACCCTGGTTTATGGAATTCAACAACATACATGGCGGGGTGGGGGGCAGTCCTCAGTGACAGAATCAGAGAAAGAAGTTATAAGCTCTTTTCTGAATTAGGACTTTGCATGACCACATGCAGCAACCTTTCTTGAGTAGATCCCTATCTTGTCTTGACCAGTCCGAACTGTTCTCAAGGTCAACAAAGGCTCTCTATAAATGACTTTTCTGAAATATTTAAAAACAATATCTAAAAAGATACACATGGCCAGAGTTGCAACCTTCATCAACCAAATTCTTCAACCAACAATAAGGTAAGTTGCTTTGATGGCATCATAACTGTTGGGATGATGTATTTCAATTTTCCTTTCTCAAGAGAATGGATAAAGATGTCTGTATTCCAACTCTGTGACAGGCTTCCGAACTGATTTCTAAATTGCGAAGTTCCACAAATTTGTAGAACTCCATCAGTCTGAATTCTGAACTGAATAATTTGGCAGGAAGGCCACCTTCTCCTGGAGCATTTGTTAGGAAGAAAGATCTTTCAAAGATACTGGATTAGGAGTCAGTTGATTTCAGGTTATTTCAAAAACCAACACATTTTTTAACAGGGTTACAAAAACAAGTACTGAGATTTCTGGAACTCAGGTATGCCCACAGATTATTTCATTTTTACTGCCAGTTGATCATCATCTCTTAACCTATTCCTACTTTCCTACAGGTGCTCCATGGCTTCCCCAGTCTTGACTGAACATACTATGGATAAAAACAATTCTGATGGTTTCCCCCACTTTGTGTCCTCCAGAGAACTATGACCTCTTACAGCCCACACCAACATGAACAAAATATTTGTTCGCTGGAAATTACACACATCGTAGTCAAGCACTCCTGGACGGCACAGGATTGGAGAAGTCTGCTATAGGTGCTACGTCACATTTAGAGAAAAGCAATAGGTGATCCCCAAGATTCTGCCCTACGCGAAAATGCACTGTTGCCTTAAACATGTCCTCAGGCAAAGCATTTCAAGACACGCAGTAAGCACCACAACGAAATTCTTTCTGGGTCAATAAAAAATCAAAGTTGCATATATTTAGATGAAGTCCACCTGAGAGCACTCTGAAAGAGTGATAAAATGCTTCTCCTCTTTGTTGCCGCAGGTTTCAGTATCATCCAGTGAATCTGCAAGACGAAAGACAAGGGTAACAAAAGGGGGGAACTACTTAAAACAAAGCGTTTCAACAGCTTTGGATGGAAGACTTATCTATGAGGGCTCTTTCGTGGTTACAGGGAAATTGTACTGACACAATTGGAATTTCTACTGGGAAACACACCCCCCCCTCAGATTTGGACAGTCTCCCAGCTAAGAAACCAATTTAAACCATGCAAAACAAGAAAACCAGAATTCACTCATGTTGGAAACTGACTTCCCCAAACATAAAAAGAAGATAGGACAGAAGGCCAACCAGAGGTTCCAGTTATTTTAACCAAGAGGAAAACAAACCAAAACATTCTTCTCATACACAGAAAATGCAATTATATTTAGATCTGTGGGTACTGCTTGTTAGAGAGGAACACACAAAACATATGGAAAGGTCTTTTCCCCATAGATAAGAAGCCAGGGAATAAACAGCAGCCCACAAAAGATTTCCTACGTGCCACACACCATCAACCTATCTGCTAATAAATAAGGTTCTTAGAAAGGAAGTTTCAGAACAGACAATTACAACACCAGCTGTAAAAAATGAAATGTAAAAGCTAATGCCATTCTGTATGTCAAGCTGTAAAAGTTCCTCACCCCCACTGGTTGGAAGCATGTGTTCAGCTGGAGGGGTGGCACTAAACTGCCATATCGTTTTCACCTTTTTGGGTCCTTGTCCACTGCTGATTTCCACTCTCCATATTTGGGGATGAGCGCTGAAAGAAGTAGTTATAAGAATTGACCGTATTAAAGGGATGCGTGTATCTGGAAAGCTCCGTGGCATAGCCTAAAAGCCTCCTGCGGGTAGCCAGATCTCAAGATAATCTCTGGATATTGTAGCGACCGAAGGAAAGCTGGGAGACCTGCACCCCAACCAGAGAGAATGATGTCTATAGCATTCTCTGGAATTATCGTTGGGAATTCAAAGACTCTCTAGCTTAGCATGAGTTCACTTGCCTGAAAAGACAGAAGTGTGAGAGAATTCATTTTGTGGGGCAAAAACGGATGCACCATAATCAGAATGGTGCTAGATCAGAGCTCCTACATCTGGGCTGCAAAACAACCAATCCAACCATGGCTTCCATCAGTTCTGTAGCCCAGATGTGGCAGCCATGCTAGACAATATTCAACAAGAATGATCTTGTCCTGTCCTGACGATGAGGGCTGGGAATGAGGAACACTGTTCTTCAGTGGTTCTCCTCCTTCCTGAGTGGCTGGTTCCAGTCAGCTGTGGTGGGTGGGGAGAGGGCAAGCCCTCAGCCACCCCATTATGCAGTTTAGTCCTCTCCCCATTATTATTTAACATCCACATGAAACCACTGGGACAGGTCATCACTAGGATGGAATAAGGCATCATCAATATGTTAATAACCAATATGTGAGCCGCCCAGAGTCACCCTCTGGAGGAGATGGGCAGCATATAAATTTAATAAATAATAAAATCAAATAAAAAACCAAATCAAATCAAATCTCCAAAGTAGGCTGGGCAGAAGACACATGGAGACCTCACTTGCTACCTGGAGACTGTCAGAGTCTGAATAGGGGGAAAGACTGAATCCTACCAACACAGAGTAGCTTGGATCTGGATGCCAACTGGAGTCCAGAGACAGTTCATCTTTGACTCTGAAGGGGGGAGTGCCTTGGTAGAAGGGACTGGCCCACCACTTGAATCCTACCCGAACAGCACATGGAAGCTATAGCCACGAGGGCATTTGAACAATTTGATCTTGTGCACCAGCTGTGGCCTTTCCTTGATCAGGTGACTTTATTCAGTCTCGTCACAGCTGAATTACTGGACTATGTTCCAAATGGGACTGCCCTGGGAGACCATCTGAACACTTCAGCTAGTACAACAGTGCACAGGTAATCATGGGTGCATCCATCTGCCCACTATAACGGGAGCTGCACTGGCAGCCTGTTAGCTTCTGAGTGCAATTCAAGGTGCTGGTTGTTGCCTTTAAAGCCCTACATGACACTGCAAATGACATCTTTCCTCAAAGCCAGAGCTTCAAGTACATTAGGCCACATTTGCCTAATGAGGAAGGTTCCATGCCATTTATCATGTTCTTGTGCCAATTCACGGATGACCTTTAAATCCCTGGGGACTTAACTTACTTTTGATAAAATTCCTTCACCAAACTTGTCCTGACTGGTAGCTGAAATGCATGCTTTTCATTCAGGGGATTTTCTTTATAGTAGTTGATACAGGACCTACAAAAAGATAAATACATTTAAAGCACCAATTCTTAGAAGAAATATCAGAGAATCTATATAGACTACAATGTAAATCAAAGCCAGTGGCATTTCAGATTTCTGTTCATTATATACAATATTTATTTATCAAATTTATATGGCCACCCCTCTCACGAGAAGTGACAGAAATAAATAAAATAAAACAATATTGTGTATAATATTTATATTTAAAATTATAAATAATATTTTAGGTAGGTATATACAGTAATACCTTGGTCCACGAATGCTTCTGTTCATGAACAATTTGGTTCACAAACAGCAGCGTTTGCAAAATTTTGCTTCCGTTCGCAAACTCCACATCAGGTGACGAACACGACCCATGGCCATCTTCCCTGCTCTGACACGGAGTCGTGGGTTCCCCTAGGTGAGATCGCGGTCGCAGACAGACACTTGCTGTGAAGCTTTTTGGTGTCGCCTCAAGCAAG